TGAGAAGAATCTTCACAGATGGCCAATCTCTAAAGGAGGCAGTGTGTAAACGTCGTATATGTAGAGACACTTGTCATGGGTTGGTGATTAACAGGAATCATAAGTTCTATTACCAAGTCCAGCAGCTGATGCTTTGCACCAAATCATCCTGGACTGATCTGGTACTCTCTGACACTATTAATTTAATTATTTTACATGTGAGGAAGGATAAGAAATTCCTCTCTGACATAGACATATATTGGCCTGATTCATTCATGAATGGAGGAACATTTACTTTTACCCCTTTACATGCAAGCATCTCTTGAATATTAAAACCTCTATCAGCCATGATAACATCACCATACTGTAGTTTTTCTATAAGGCCTGACTTTCTGTGTTAGTTCCTTGTCAGAAATGCTGCCACCATACAGGGTTGAAATAAATGAAATCCTCCCTTTTGGTAGAATACCAACCAAGGCTTTCAGGGTGTTGCTATTTTTGTATGAAGAAAATGTTACTTGTTGAGCCTCTGGGTTGTTTGGCTTTTCAATGTATATCTCTGTAGTATCAATTATTAGAGTAGTTGTTGAATACTTTTTGCAAAAACATTCAGGCAGGTGTAATTTAACAATCTCTTTGGAAGGAAATACATCAAGTTCTTTGAATCTGAAATAAATAAACTTGATCCAGGTATAAATAATTTGGGAAACCACACTCTGGGAAACTCCAAATCTGAGTGATAAGTCTTCTTCAAGCCACCCCACTTTCAAACGACAAAGTACCAGAAAAAATTCATTTTCGATATTCAAAGCCTTACTTGGCCCAGGTTTATATTTGTGCTTGATTTCTCTTAAATTTTCCGTGTTTTGGTAGTCCAAGTGATCAGCTGTCTCCCTCCCCAGAAAGTCAAGAACCATTGAAAACACTTCATAGTTTTCAAATCCAGTGTAAAATCTTAATAATTTATCATTTTCCTTTACAGTTTCGATGCTGAAGGCTTTCTTCTTGATTAATAATTCCAGCTCCTTTCTGGCACTTCTTTCTTCTTCAAGTTGATTCTCCAGCTCTTGTATTTTTTTGTTCAGTTTGCGCTCCTTAGTTTGCCATTTCTCAAGTAAACATGAGATTTCCTCATTCTTTAACTGAAGTTGATGTTCCCAGTTTTCATCTACAATTTGAAATAAACCTTCACTTTCAAGATGTTCAGTTTCCATACCATCTGAAACAGATTTAAAATCGGTGTTTTCAATGTTTATCGGTTCGGGGGCTGACTGCTGCTGCGATTTCTCTATTTTTGTTTTCTTTGTGTTCAACGTTGTTCGATCAGCGGGCTCTTTCCTCTTTGGTTTTTCAACAGTAAATATAAACTTTGTTGGTACGGAATCTGGCTTCAAGTGAATTCTTTCTCCTCCCATTGGTTTTATGAAGCAATTAACTTCAAAATGCTGACTACAGACATAAGAGTTTTTGTTCACCGGAGTGTTCTCTCAACGCAGTTTCACGAGCCATTATGCCAGCAAATTCTTGTTTGACAGCGGCAGCGAATGCCACTATAAGTCCTTGCATTCCACTTTGGAACTTCGGTTTTGACACCCAAAAGCTATGCAATGTTTCACCATGGATAAAGAAACTAAAAACTCGAGAAAATATTATGTAAATACCAAGCTACTACTACTAATTTCCCTCTCTGCTTCCTTGTACTTTAGAGCGAGCCAGACCCGATAGCCTCGTTTTGGCGTAAGCTCACTCGGAGACCGCTGATTTCACGTGCTCAACTCTGATAAGAGCTATTAAGACTTTTTTAGACATTTTAGATGGTACGTTGCCCAACACTCTTAGTCCATATCCCACTCACATAGCAGTTGTCTGTGGACTATTAACAAACTTTTTTCCACCTCTGTTGGAACCAACTAAAGAACCACTGTGTGTGCTTGTATCAGAAAGTAACTTATTTTTGGTCTCTGTAACCTGGGAATGTCATATATGAGAAATTATGTTTTGATCATTTAACCCTTTAAAATAAATAATATATGTATGCCAAGATGGCTGCCAGTGTCATTCGTGTTCTCTTGATTTGTTTTATAAGTCTAGCCTATTCTGATGATTTCTTGCCCTATGGATGGACTCAGTCTGGTTTTAAACACTTCTGCTTCGAAGATATCCTCAGATGTTTCTCTGATGGTTTTCTTCCTGGCAATTCTAGACGTGAATTTAGCCTGATTGGATCTTATGTGGTGATAAAATGACAAGAGCTCAGTAGTCTTGTAGTGTTCCAACCATTGTCAAAACAGGCCAAGCATGGGACTACCTGTTTACTTCTTCCTTCAAACCCTTTTGTCCTGGATCTCACAATGCATGTTCACATCTCTTCAAATCCAGGACCTGAATCTAACCAAGAAATCATCTCAAATTTGGTTGGATTCTATCATCATCATTCATCTCGGTCTTCACAACGTATTACCTATTCAAGCAATGAATTGTTATTATTGCGGCGTTTTTCATCAGCTCATTTGCCTTTTCATCTGGTTTCAGTCTTAAAGGTTTAGAAATTTTTTTTTTCGAGATTTGCATCTTTGCTTAATTGTGACAATCTTGTTAAGGTGCTGATCTTTCAAGCAGCTAGCACCCAGGATACTTCTCACATGATCAGTGCCTGCTTGCTCAATAGGCTCTTTGCAGCTAGATGTCACTTGCCTAGTACGCACTAGCAACACCGAATTGGAGAGCAAGCTCTCCAGCAAACACAAATCGTACGAGTCTCTTGAGCATCACGCGTGTGTATAGTTGAAAGGCGATTATTCTGAATTCAAGCATTAAATATCTTTCCATCTCTCCAAATCCAGTAAGTTTAGCATAGAAATATAGCTTTGAGCACATCTTTGAATCGGAAAGGTTGCTTTTCAGCTGGGATCGCGGCAAAAATATCAGCGTCAAGTTGACCACAAGTTACAAACATGGCTTCTCCGTCAGGTATGTAAAACAGAGCTTGTCTTCTTGTTGCACTTTTATAACAACGTTGAAAACGGTTGATGCCATTTCACATGATGGTCGATGCCATCGTAAAGGTTGATGCCAAGAAGGAACCGATATTTCCAACTCTCTCCGACGACATGCGTGTTAATCAGAGCAATGCGTGACTAGCTGTCCCACAAACCATCGCGATTTTTATCAAATCAAAATGGCGGACAAACCCAACAATTTTCTCAAAGATCTAATATCTTCAGCTATAAAAGAAGTCGAATCGAAAAGAAAATCTTTTGAATCGACCCAAATTACAAAGGAGAGTTTTCTGGCTTCACTTCCAGATGATTCATTTTACTACCTGAAGGCAATTTCAAGAAATGGAGAAAAGTTCAAAGTGCACTTTTTGACCGAAGATATAATGAAAGAAAACCTGGAGCAATGGATATCCGAATATGAAGTGATAAACAGCATCTCAGTGAAGTTAAAGATAAAGATGGCACCAATAAGCAGCTATGTGTTGCAAAACTACTATAGATGCCAACACAACACTCACAACTGGAGTCCAAGTAAAGATCCACAGCAGAAATTGTACTTGAATCCATCTGCCAGAATAAAGAACACCAATTGCCCCTTTCAGATGATAGTCAAAATAGACAGCGAGGGATGTTGTTCTGTGGACATAGAGTGGGACCACAACCATTCACTTGAAACTCTGGAGACCTCTAATTTCTGTGACCTTTCTCCTGAGTGCACAGAAAGGGTTTTGAAGGTTTGAAAGTGGGCATACACCAGCAACCGCAAGGCAACGGTACTTGAAAGAACTCAAAGAATCATGTCAGGATGAATTGGAATTTCACAGGAAAAAGGCCAATCGGGCAGTTATGTCTAAAAAAAAGGGACTTTAGTTACCTCTACACGCAATTTGGTAAGGATAGGTATGGTGGACAGGGCGTTATGATGTTTGAAAGACTTGCCGAAAGGCTTGAACCCCTTTTGGGTCCAGTGAGGTGAAAAAAACAGGAAATGGAAAAAAGATCCGAGTCCGGCCCAACAGAAAACGAAAGTGCAGTAGTGGAAGCCGTCAGGTCGTATCAAAAGGGTGACCAGTACAACTACAAGAACCAACTTCCAAGAGGAAGCGTACCAATGACTTGGCTACATCAGTACAAACAAACACTAAAAGTAGTAAGAAGTCTGGGTCCTATACTATGAAATCCAAGACAAAGCACATGCAAAGGAAAAAATAGGAAAACAGAGAAATCTTAGTGAATAAACAATGGAATGTTCACATAATGTTTAACATAGAGGGAAATTCACTTAAGGAAAATTGCCTAGATTAAAAACCTCTCTCCTTGGATCTGCCCCTGAACAACAAGGTTATTAAAGATTGAGGTTTTGACATTGTAAATAAGTTTTAATTCATTCTTTCCTGTTAAAGTCTAACACAACATTTGTAATGATTTAAAATTTGGTTTGAACAGTAATATAATGTACATGGGCCAGAACTTATGGATTCTTCCATGGGTTCAGGTAATTGGTATGATGCCATACAACCGTATAGTACTCTAGCCAATTTCAAACACTTATAATTTAATTATATTTTTGTTCAAGTGAAACCTTGTGGGTATGAAGGTTTGTTTGCTGATATCCTGATTTAGGAAAATTATAAGGAAAGTTCAGCCATTGATATACATGGGGTGCTGACTAATACTCTGGTAAATTAAGGCCTGGGCCTCCAGCTATTTTACCCAAAAAGTGGGGGGTGGTCTATCTTCTGAAGATTAAGCTGTACAAACGTAAAACTTTGAAAAGATTGAAGGTTTGAAATTGTAAATAAGTTTTAATTCATTCTTTCCTGTTAAAGTCTAACACAACATTGTAATGATTTAAAATTTGGTTTGAACAGTAACATGATGTACATGTGCTGCAATGACCACAATTAATTTCAAAAATCGATAATAATAATTTAAAAACAAAAACAATTATGTATTATAGATTGATCCAATAGTCCTCTCAAATCATCTCCAGTTAAAATCACTAAATGCAGGATAGGTTAATTAAACATGTGACTTTTGGTGTCTTATAAGATTTTTCTCTGCAAAAGTCTTTTGACAATGATCACACTTGTAGCTGTCTTTATGTTTCTGGTCTTTATGCCTCTTTAGCTTTTGCTTATGGTCAAATGATTCATTGCATTCCTCGCAAATGCACTCATGACAACCTTTCTGGTGGTATTTGAAGTCCTTCTCCCTTGTGAACTGGGTGCTGCAGGTTGGACATTTTTTATCTCTGCTATTCCCATAACAAGGTCTTCCCTCAAGCTCAGTGCTTTATCTTTCCAGTCCTATGAAGATCATAGCATGATATTTTAAAAGAGGGGAACATATTAGGGAACAATTGTGTATTTTTGATCCCCCCTATTTTTTATTTAAACTAGATTGCAAAGACAGTTTTTTTCACCCTCTATCATAATTTTTTGAGGATAATACCCCCTTGCCCCCCCCCCCTTTCCTCAAAACCTGGATCCGCCACATGTAGGTTATTTCTAATTAAAATTTTGGTTGAATTAATTGGTACATTATAATGGGCCTTGCTATCCCCTAGGCATATTTAAGAGTTCTGTCTGGAAAAATAACAAGTCTGAACATTATATTACAAAATTGACATTCAGCTTGAGGTCCCAGCTTGATTCAAATACTTTTAATTGGAAAGTTTGACGAGAACATTTACACTCTCCGTCCTTAAAAAGTTAGCCACGTAAACCACATAGCAGTCCACTGAAATGGGGCAGGGTTAATACACAAACATTTGCAATGTTAGAAGTTTATAACTAACCTTTCGTCTGTCTGTTGGCAATTTCTTCCACATATTGCCAACCACTTTGGAAACCTGCCTGATTCCTGCCCCCTTTCCAAGTTGTTCCTTGACATCTGGCTGTGGAATGATACAAAGTACGAGGAAACTATATCAGCTTATATCGAATGTAGTTTCAAGGCCTACAAGAATAATGAATACAAGTGCAACACTTATAGATAAGACATTTGTTAATGATATAATCATCAGCTGGCTCAACTCTCGCGCACGTGGATTGCTCCGCCATCTTATAAACAACACTGCCCGGAAGAGAAAAACTAATTGATGTTGACAAGGAGAAGGATATTTTATTAGCATGCCAGTTTTCAATGGACAAAATTAAAGATGATGAGTCAGCAGGTCTATTTTCTACTGGATTCCCAAACCATGGAGCACTCATAAGCTTCTACAATTTTATTGAACCAAAGTTGACCAACATGCAGTGCTGGAAAGGTGTTACATTGTTAAGAGAGAGTCAGCCGTACCAAGTGAAGCATAACAGAAAAAAACCTGGGCCTTCAAGAAAGCTTTCATGCATGGATGAATTGTTACTTATACTTATAAGACTTCAGGCTGGTTTATTTGTACAAGATCTCCCTTATAGATTTGGGATCACCAGAAGCCTGGCAATTCTAGACGTGAATTTAGCCTGATTGGATCTCATGTGGTGATAAAATGACAAGAGCTCAGTGGTCTTGTTGTGTTCCAGCCATTGTTAAAACAGGCCAAGCATGGGACTACCTGTTTACTTCTTCCTTCAAACCCTTTTGTCCTGGATCTCACAATGCATGTTCATATCTCTTCAAATCCAGGACCCGAATCTAACCAAGAAATCATCTCAAATTTGGTTGGATTCTATCATCATCATTCATCTTGGTCTTCACAACTTATTACCTATTCAAGAAATGACTTGTTATCATTGCGGCGTTTTTCATCAGCTCATTTGCCTTTTCATCTGGTTTCAGTCTTAAAGGTTTAGAAATTTTTTTTTTCAAGATTTGCATCTTTGCTTAATTGTGACAATCTTGTTAAGGTGCTGATCTTTCAAGCTGCTAACACCCAGGATACTTCTCACATGATCAGTGCCTGCTTGCTCAATAGGCCCTTTGCAGCTAGAGGTCATGTGCCTAGATATGCGTCAGCAACGCTGAATTGGAGAGCAAGCTCTCCAGCAAACACAAACTGTACGAGTCTCTTGAGCGTCACGCATGTGTATAGTTGAAAGGCGATTATTCTGAATTCAAGCATTAAATATCTTTCCATCTCTCCAAATCCAGTAAGTTTAGCATAGAAATATAGCTTTGAGCACATCTTTGAATCGGAAAGGTTGGTTTTCAGCTGGGATCGTGGCAAAAATATCAGCGTCAAGTTGACCACGAGTTACAAACATGGCTTCTCCGTCAGGTATGTAAAACAGAGCTTGTCTTCTTGTTGCACTTTTATAACAACGTTTGGACGATTAATACAAGTAAAAAGAAAGAATCTATGGTAATTCACTACACTTTGAGGTTTAGGAGCTGTTTACTATCAAAAAACATAGAATTTTGGCTGCTTATTCCCCTCAAAACTATGGTGTTTGAACCAACAAGCGTTGTTTAATTCATCGCTATAACTGTAGAGATATTACTCGCCTAATTTTGTGATCATGTCAATTTGAACATTTTCCCCAAATCGTTAGACTAATGTTACTTGTGTTCATATTTTTTTTTTTGCTGAGGAGAGCCAAGATCTTTCAATATTTCCCTCGCTGACCTTCCATGATGTCGGCCAATATGCAAAAAAGATGTCCGGATGCACCAGCACAGTGAAAGCATATAAGTTTATGGCAGAACCTGGATATCTACACGAGATTAAAGGTAATTAAATTGAGTATTTCCTAGTTATTTTTCTCTATCAGGATATTACATTTATGTTTTATGTTACAGTGATACGGGCCAACAACGTGGTGAAAATTACATCGAAATGTTTTTGCTCCATGAAGAAGAACGAGCCACCTCATTCCTTGGAAGTTTCTTCGAGCATGGCTGACGGTTCTTTGTCTGGAAGGTGCTCTTGTGTGGCTGGATCAGGAGGGTATTGCCATCATGTTATAGAGCTTCTCTATTATCTGGCTATACTCAAACAACTGGGGCATCGAACTCTGCCAGATGATTTGACATGCACCAGCATGACGCAGCGCTCGAGTGTGCCCAGGGGGAAAAAATTGAACCAAAGCAA